GTGTTTGGGAAGCGCCTCAATGCCCAAATCCCCAAGTGCTCGACGCTTCAAGACATTAAACACCTCCTCGGGGTCACTGTAAACGGCTGACAATCGCTCCGTCTCCAGCGCCTCTGATGTCTCATTGATCCACCCAAGCAGACGCCCCACATCATCCGAAGGTGAGCCCTCAGTCTGAAGAGAGTCTTGAATTTGTTTCATAACATGTTTCTTAAGTTCATCCCTTGTCTGTTGAAGTATGGCCAAGGCGGGATGGTGGCATAGTGCCTGTTGAATCACCAAACGACACTGTTCACCGATGCGTGTGGTGGTGGCCTCTGGCATGGGGGCCTCAATGGCCTTGCCTGTGGCAAACCGCAGGCGGTTCATTAAATCCCGCAGGTTATCCTCCTCCATGTTTCCTTGTCTGCCTCTATAAAAAGATAAAGAAATAATACAAATAAAATAATACAAAAAAAAAAAAAAAAAAAAAACAGAAAGAAGAAACGATGATATCCACTTAGCGGCGTGCATAAATAATATATGGTCCAGCAGCAAAATATATATATATTTATTTATTTATTTATTTATTTATTTATTTATATACGGAATATGCAGTCCTGGATGAAGCCTTGCTCCCCTATACCTAAAAGGAGAAAAAAAAAGAACAACAGAAAAAGACAAACAGTTTGATTCACTGCGACCAGCATCCCACACACACACACAAACAATTCAGGCAAAACTGATCCAGCAGCCGCACAGCAACAAAAAGAGTCATAAAATGTATGTGTAATAACCGGGACCCGTGTAAACTGTCAAAGTGGAAGCCTCTTTAGGATCTTCTCCGTGTGGAGGGCAGTCGTATTCGTAGTGGGTGAATGGGTTAACACAAACAAAATAGTAAATTTCCGTAAGACGCGCTATCATCCACTACACCCCCCCCCCCCCCCCATCTGGTCGCACACTCTTTCCACATGCTTCTAAATAACAATAATAATAATAATAATAATAATAAAAGATTGAGAAAAAGCGGCAGCCAAAAAAAAAAAAAAAAAAAAAAAAAAAAACATACATGTTGGGAATCTCACGCTGAAACCGACGGGTGGTCAACGAATACGACTCCCATAATATTTTGTCTTTCAGCCACCTTTCTTAGGAAGCGCACAGCCGACTCGGTTACGGAGTTCAAAAAGGCTCTTGCATTTCCCATAATTTTTCCACGAACGTCCTCCACGTCATGAATTTGCTGCGGAGCACCAACTCCGACATCACGTCCGGGTGCGACCTCACCATCCCTCACGCGCGCTCTTCCGTCCGCAGGGGCGTCCAAGAGAAATACACGAACGGAATGCCCCAACACACGGGGCAAAATCAATCGCTCAGCCCCGCCCTCAACTACACCGCGTAGCTTGTTCCGGTAACGCCTTTCAATCTCACGCATTTCCAGAAGAAAAGACCAGGCGCCCAGCAATACTGTAAACGCCACGTAGTAAAACACATGCCCTGTCCAATACCGCTCCCTCCCTCCTGATACCAGAAGAAAGCACAAAAGATTGTGCAGTGTGTACGGGACAAAAGAGATGGAGGCAATGTGCATAAAATGAGGTATCAAAATAAATGCCATTGCACTTTTAATCGTAAAATGCTGACAGCCGCAGAACAAATACACCAGCAAACGCTTCGGGGCACCGAATACCTTCACACGCATCGTACAAAATGAAACTGTTATCGCAACCCCACAAAACCACGCCAAGAGAATAAACCAAGTGTCGACACCCACATTGCAGTGGGGTTTAAAGAAGAATCTCCGCACCATGACCACCCAAGCCGCGCCAGAGAAAAAAGGCTGAAGAATCAGAAGCACCACACAATTCAAAATGTAAAAAAAAAACTGTTGAATCGTGGGCGGATTCATGCACTCAAGAAGGAGACGCACATCCTCCTCAAGGAAAAAGTAGATGTCGTCATTCTTTGACGCAAGAGACTTCAGCGTCTCTTGGAGTCGCTCAATGGGTCGCGTCCCACGTGGGCCTTTTTTGTACTCCTCCAAGCGGACTAAAACGGCATCAATGGAAGATAAAAATCTGAAACCAACGTCCCCGGGGACTTTCCGAATAGACCGAACGCTGTAGCCAAGACGGTTTCCCGCCCGAACCTCACTTGAATCCAACCACAAACCAAGACATGAGCCAAACCACCAGCGGTGCTTCCAGTGAGCCAGTAAAAGACCAATTCGAGGAGACAAAACCCTGAGGAGACCTCCTTGCTGCGGGAACCCCAGTGGAAAAAGGCTATAAAGGATTATGTGAAGTTGAACATCAAAGAGAAGAAATAGTCGCACCAGACTGCCTCGCTTACCCAGCACGTGCAGCCCGGGGATGGCATGCGCCGCCAAAGTCACGACAGTAACCAGCCAATAGAAAATCACAAATGCCAAGAGACGCACAGCACGTGAAAGAACACGCGGCAGTGAAAAAGAGCCTCCGTGCATCACCTGCCTGATATTAAATACGTTCTCCAGTGTGGAAGTCAACAGCTTGTACGCCCACTCCAGCACATCTCGATGTGTCGTGTAGCAAAGGAGAGACAACCGCATCCAGCACGCAAAAGAGGGAATACTGGTGTTGGCCAGCAATGCTATAGGTACAAGTGAGGGGTTGATGACACGTACAAGGGCAAGTGAGCTCCGAAGAAGCGTAAATGAACACACCACTGTGTACACAAGGATCTCACCATAGATGAGAATAAGCGCCTTCAGATCACAAAAACGGATGCCTTCAAACAAGTTCGAGTGAAGCAACCTGTAAAGTGAACTCCAACTCAACCACTCCACAGGAACTGTCTGAATTAGAAAACGCGCCATGCACGGAAGAAAAAGGGCAAAATATACTGCCATATATCCCATTTCCACTATCGATACACTGTCAACTTTGGACACAAAAACTGTAGCGATAAAGAGTGGCAGTAGTAATGGATCATCACCGTCCACAACCCAGGCACTACGGTTGAAACCATCAGAAATATTGGCCCTAGTCGTCATGAGACGCGTTTGTACGTCCCCAAAATTGCCACATGTGTCATTCTCATGAACCCCCGAAAGGACACTCAGGGCCTTCAGCATAGTCAAGGGTGAAAAACCCGTACCAACTTGTGGCCGATGCCCCAAGGCCAACGCATGATCCATCTTTTTGCTTGAAACCCCCGTTGCTATTTTCCATGCCGTTTCATAGTCGTTGGAAGCAAATGACGCCTCGGCTACAAAAAATTCCAGGCAGATCAGCGTCGTCAAAAAACAAACCGTTAAAAGGCCATAGCACGTCAGTGCAATTACGTTCAAGATTCCGCGAAAATATACAACCAAAAAAGAAAGTGTTTTACGATGTGGCAACCGGCGCAGATATTTCACAAGCCAAAAAATACACCATAATGAAAAACTTCGTCTCACATACACAATGGACCAAGAAATCAAAGTCGAGCTTCCCAACGCATCTACAAATAACATTAACATGGCATGGCGCATCCTGGAATTACCCTCTGAGATAGATGTTAACTGCAGAACCCTCTCCAAGGCGGCGTTACAGTAGGAACCGCCATCAAAAAAATTCCATAGGAATACTGCGGTCAGACGCATCATCTCCGGAACAAACTTTAGAAATGTCCACATGGCCGCATAAAACAAAATGAAGTGCAAACTGGAATGGAACACGTTTGAAGACAAATATCCCCCACCGAAATGGTCCTTTGACTTCTGCCTCAGTAAAGTGATGGCCTCAAAAACCGTTGCATTTTCCTCCGGAAGAGTAGCCGGGACCAAGCGCTGTCCTCCAATCTCCTCATCGGGCTCCTCGTCAACCTCCTCGTCGGACTCCACAAGGTCGGGGTTGACGCTGGGCTGCTGCGCCGCCTCCTCCTCCTCCCCGAAATCAAGACCAAGCACGTCCCCCTCCTCCAATGCAAGCCACTCCTGCCATTTCTTCCACAAAAAAAAAAGAGGGACTGCACAGAGTGTGAGCACTGCACCCACCGCAAAGAAAATCTGTGGCGAAAAGGGCCCTGACTCCGGGAGCAATTGAATGACGGGATGCCAACGCATAGCGAGAGGGTCGGATGGAGGAATGGCGTAGTGAAAAAACGCCACAATAAAGGGGATAAAAATAACAACGAGCGTATGGAGTACCGCAAAGGTCAGCATCCCAAAATATCGCTTCATGTAGTGCCTAGCACAAATCCAACACAATATAAAAAATCCGGGTGCCCCATCAGTCAATTGAAAATTGAACACCTTGGCGGCACTGTACGTCGTTCCACACACCTCACAAGAAAGTGATCGCCGATGGTACACCCAATCCGATAAACACCTTGAGTGAACATACTTCATCGAACCCTCACATGTGCAAGGGCTGACAAGCCTCCCTCTATCCCTATGGCATATTCGACAAACGCCTTCCTTCGTGGACATTGAATCAAAACTAACATCGGAAATTCATACACAACCAAAAATGAAATAAAATAATAAACAAATAAACAAATAAATAAATAAATAATAAATAAATAAATAAGAAGCGCATAGAAAAACAAAATATCTATTTATTTATTTTATTTATATTTAATATATAAGAAAGGTGTGTAATACAGGACTGCACCTACCTTTGCTTTCCCGTCGTCTCGGAGGCTACGCTTTCTGAAATGTGAAACTGTGGAAATGTTTGGATTCCCAATTCGTCTGCCGCAGCGGATAGTCTTTTATCCAATGTACACAGTAGCAGTGACTCCGTGGCTATCCCCCGAACATCACGGTGGTGGCGACGCACGTGGTATTTCAAGAAGGAAAAGAGCATCGTCCCTTCAGATATGAGAGAAACGCCCTGAAGTGATGCCGCTTTCCGTAATCGAAGGGTATGTTGAAGAGCCAAGCATGTATTCAGTATGCGCAAATCAGGATCACTCTCTTTCGCGGGTTCGTTGAGGCGTAAATATGCCAAATTAGAAATGGCAGAAAATGATATGCATGGAAATTCTGAAGCAAACGTTAACACAGTCACCGATGGCTGCTTCAAAAAAGTCACCACACGAGACCACAAAAGGTTCCGGACAGCCCTTTTCAGCTGCGTTGAAGGACTCCAAATAATTTGATAAATCTCACGCACTGTGGTAAAGGGAATAACCAAATGCTCAAGTGGTTTGCCTTCAAGATGCGGATATTGCCTTCGTATGGGTGGATAGAAATGACTGAGCGGTAAATCTTTTGCCGTGCACTGAAGAAGAAAGTTGGTGTCAAGAACCAAGAGGGTGTCGCCATGCTTTAACGCCTCATCCGCAAGCTCGGAGACCGGGCGATGATGAGCTTTATTCAAAGAAAAAAGCTTCACATATATGGAACTGAGTGGACTTACATAACGCTTATAGCTGCGGAACATCTCATTCGTAGTAATTAGACGGAATTTCTTCTCCTTCTTCTTAGTAGCATCAGTGAAATTATTTCGTGGGCGCATGCGACTTGTAATGTCGTCCACAATCTCACGCGATGTAAAGTTAAAGTAAGGGTTCGCTAAGTAAAGACAATCACACAGTCCACCATAAACTGCCGCATGTTTTGGGGCGATTTCACGAGACAAGGAAAATATGCCCAGTTCCTCCGCTGTCTCCAAGGCGGCACGCCAGCGGCCTTCCTTTTGCAATGGCCTCAGCAAGGCGGAAAAAAGACTCTCGTCCATCTTATGGCCCTGAGCAAGTGAGGCCGCAACGAGTCGGAACATCCTTTCGTATTCCTCTGCCAAGCCCAGGGAACGAACGATGGGTTTAACGAACATGGAGCTTAGCGGCGGGGGTGATCGGCGGTACAGCAACTGGAGTGCGTGGTCCCAGCGCCCATTCGGGGCCAGTATATTCACCAGGATTCGTGTATCCGCTAGATTATTCTGCATGCGTTCGCTGCTTGCGTAGAGAGCCATCGCGTTTTCCCACATTCCGGTAAAAGAGGCGTACACAAGCATTGAGCGTGCCCCCTCATTTGTGGTGGTGTCCACATCCTCCTCCATCACCCGTTTGATCGCGTAAAAATTACCGCTGCGCTTAAAACGTTCCAAAGCCGCACTCACTAGACGCGTCGGCGGTTGTCTGTAGCCACATGTCCCCTTAATTACACCGTAGTAGAAAAGCGAGGCGCCCCACGACGTCTCCATCTTTGAGAGCCCGTGGTACAATTCTTCGGTCGTCGGCTGATACACGCCGCGCAGCAGCTCACACGTTTTGCGGTAGCTGGAAAGAACATCCGCCCACGAGGCGCAACCAGACGACGCCACCAGCAGCGGCAGGGCAACGGCCCCCTGTGAACCCCTTTGCATCTAAAGAAACATTGCAGAAATAAAAATAAAAATAAAAATGCAACAAAATAAAAGAAAAAGAAAAAAAACAGGCGTGGCAAACACCCGCCCAAAACAAAAAAAAAAAAAAAAGCCACAACGCATTCGGTTGTGCTCCCACGCTTATACATAAATAATTTAAAAAAAAAAAAAAAAAATGAGAAAAAAAAATGCGGGTGATTCGTTTTCTTTT